TAAACCCCCAAACCCTAAACCTTATTGTAGCCCTTTTAACACTCTGCATAGCTCCAGCAACTCATGGTTCCAAGCGCGCTCCCCGCCCCTCATCGGGGCAAGACAGAACGGCACCCTAACCCCAAAGCCGGAAGTTAGGACTTCGGGTTCAGGGTTTAGGGTTTAGGGTTTAGGGTTTAGGGTTTAGGGTTTAGGTTTAAGCTGTTGGGTTTGGGGTCTAATGGTTTAGGGTTCAGGGTTTGCTAAGCTGAAAACCTCAAGCCGAATTACTCAAACCCCAGCTCCTAACTCTTCCAGCCGCAGAACCCAAAGCCAAGTCATGTGAGCCTGAAGTTTTGAGCACAATACTTTTTAGAGTTATACACTATTGCAAACTATATTGCACTCTAGTAGGTTTTAGCAAGGTTTAGCAGATTACAGTACATCATAGTAAGTTATAATATATCATGCCGAGTACAGTATATGCTCGTAGATCGTAGTAAGCTATAACAACCTATAGTCTGTTATAGTACACACAAGTATCCCCTAAACCCTACACCCTAAACCGTAAACCCTAAACCTAAACCCAAAACCCTAGACCCTAAACCCTAAACCCTAAACCCTAAAAAACAGGAAGGGAGCCTCTTCTATTTGCTCTTGCCCAACTTCTTCTCTGGCATTGAGACCAAGAACGGCCTCTCCGATTCTGACTATCGCGCCTTCGGTGGAATGGGCGGTTTAGGGTTTAGGGTTTAGGGTTTAGGGTTCAGGGTTTAGGGTTTAGGGTTTAGGGTTTAGGGTTTAGGGACTATCGCGCTTCGGTGGAATGGGCGATTAAGGCTTCAGGGTTTTTTTTGGGACGTTCGGAGCCTAAAACAACGGCAAGCCCCAACTCCTGCAGGTTGAGGGCGTAGGCATCAGGATCTAGTTCTTGCATATTGCTTGTTTTTGAGTTTAGGGTTTCGGATTTAGCTCTTGCATGGGGAGTGTTGTTGACGGGATTGGGGCTCTGCAGCGGCTTGCCTTGCCTTTAGTCTCGGCGGGAGAGGCAAGCAGTGAATTCTTCGCACAAGGGTTTATGGGGTATAATTCAGTTGTCTGAGTACTTAGTACAGGGATGCATAAATATACTACACGCTCTCTAAAACTTATTTCTAGATATAGGAACGGATCCTTCATACATCAAGGGACTGTGGAACACTCTACCGCAACTCCAGCCGCAAAACGCTTGAACACTGCCGGTGAGAGACCTACTAACTCCCCTAAGCCTTTTGAGTATCACTAATTCGTAACACATCCCAGAAAGCCTTGACAGAGCCGTAGAGTTATTCGAAAACCTTCCTACTAAACGCCTATAGAGCCGTTTTGAAACCCCATGAAACACTTCGAACATCCCAACACGACACGGTAAAGCCCTCTTCAAGCACCACAGCCCAGAGAGCCCAATACCCCTTTATTTGAGGAATATACCCTAAAATCATAACATTAAGCCTCCTAGACCCTAAACCCTAAACCCTAAACCCTACAATTTAAGGTCTATTGCTTAATTAAGGGGGTATTGGGCTCTCTGGGAGCGCAGGGAAGCTGCTGAAGTCCATGGCGTGCCCCGATTGGGGGCCGGCAGCTTGTCTGAAAGCACAGTGGGTTTCTCTGCGGGTTCATAGGGTTAAGGGTTTAGGGTTTAGGGTTCAGGGTTTAGGGTTTAGAATTTAGGGTTTAGGGTCTAGGGTTTAGGGTTTAGGGGGGTGCTTCATTTGGCTATCAAGAAACGGGACCAATAGACACATCAATACCATTCACACTACACTTCGCATTTCTTCTTATGATGATTCAGTATATACATATACATATATACATAT